CCCCTCAGCTGATGTGAAAGTAGCAGGGCTAGAGAGAGAGAAAAGAGGAGCTGGTGCACTGTCTGTTACAACTACAACACTGGAACAAATAGGTAACAACATTATACAAAAGGTAGACATTTTCAGTGACATCTCGGCCAACAGTCTCTCGGACCTTCGAGATCATTTAATATCGAAATACATCGGAGGAATTATGACTCAGAGTTGCGAAAATATCTCGAATCCCGTTCCTGCTTTCCTGTTTTTTTGTGTCTAAAAGGTACCAGAGGCCATTTCTTTTCGCTAGCTAGCGTTAACATGCTAGCTGCTAGCTAGACAACTTGTAAATTGCAACAAAACTTGGACTTTTTTTTTCTCTCCCCCCCTCAAAAAAAGACTACTAGATTCGTGAGTTGTAAAGAAGCTGCTGTTTGTCTAATAAATCCCACTCGCGTCTTGTCGAGTTGGCAACGCGTTAGCCAGCGACAACAAGGCTAGCTAATATTAATTAGCTCGCATGCCAAGGTTAGCTGCTAATAGCTATAACGCTCTTGTTTGATTTGACAACGCTGAACGTCAGCGACGTGACTGCCCCGCACCACGATAATCCGCTATCGATAAGGTCAGTGGCTTCTTGTCAATCGGGTAGCTATCTCGACTAACACCCGCCAGAAACCACAGCTCGTCCAGCGACCAGCCAGGTGTTTATTTATACCCGCTTGCTGTTTGAGTGGACGCTCATTGAAGAAACGCTCGCTGTCCCCTTTTTCTTTTAGCTTAGCTGGCACATTAGCGTGCTAATTATTAGCCTCCAGACTTTGTTACAGTGGCTCAGATGCGAAATAAAACGAGTTGGTGTTCTTCGGTGAACTGTGCCCGACTCTTAATAGGAAGTATCTGCTGTGTTGACACGTTTGATGCTGCTCGTCAACTTGCCTGTGCCTGGCTAACATTAGCAGAAGCGCTAGCCAGTAGCAGTAGACGGGCATTGGCCTTAAGTGAGCTTAGAAAACATGAGTGATCCTCGCAGACAGCCAGCGTTAGTTAGCTGTGCTTGTGTGCTCAACACTGGCGGTGACAGTCGCTAAGAGAGTGATCCCGGGTCTGCCTGGTTACCTGTCGTATTGGCGGTTGTGTATTTTTAATTTGATCGCCCCATCAAACAGCAGAGACGGTGAGCTAACTTGCGTGAGAGACGTGTATGTGTGTGTGTATGTGTGTATTTATTTTTCTTTAAACTTGGTCGTCAGCCAGATCCGGAGCAGTGTGTCCCGGCAGTCAGAAACCCCCAGTGAGCCTGTGGTTGCGTCGGCTGACTGGAAGCTCTGCTCGCTTTATTACATTAACCCGCTGTCGGAGGACGATGCTGCCATTTTCGCTGTGTAGCTAATCTCAGGTGAACGCAATCGTTTATTTGGCACTTAATGGCCTCGTCTTGGCCGTTCGCTGCATATTTCGCCGTTTCACACCCCAACTAGGTGAAAACAAGGTGGCTTTTATGAATCGGCAGTGCGTTTAGTCTGGGAGTTAAATAGGTTGACACACCGGTACGCCAACTACGCATTTCCATGTAACCACTGCTACGTTAGCCGACGTAACTTTCACCAACGAGCCTCTGGTATGTGCTTACTAGCCTTTAGCTTTTTCTCATCCTCACAGTCAATAACCAGCGGGTACAAGCTTCACTTTTGGGACGTGGAAGTGTTTTGTGTGGACACGGATGCGACTAAGCGACTGTCAAATCGTATGTGTCCTGCTAGGATATGAGTGGCTAAACATGCTAGTCGGTGGTGGTGGAGAAGTACGTCAGAAATATAGGCCTCTGTATATCATGGGTATAAAAACTGAACTCTGCCGTGCTTGTTTACTGGGGTCGTAATAAAAACTGGGTACCGGCGAGTGTTTGAAGCTACCGATCATTTGACGTGCCTAACTAATCCCAGTGTATATATATTTATATGTTTATACATGTAGTGTGGTGCACCAGTTGTCAGAGTGGACGAATAAACAAAGAGTAGGATGCACTGTCAGTGCAGGCCTAAAATGGCCCTGTGAGCTTGCCAAGTGTGGCGTATTTTTATGATCAATGATATAATGATTTAAACTGTAACCGAATTGGCAAAATAGTCGTCTTTATTTTTTGGATGGCAAAACGTATGTAGGTTTGTGATTCAGTCGTCTTTGTGTAGCAGTTGATAACATCATCCTGCTGATGTGTTCAAAAGATATTCATCACTTTATTATCAGTACTCTCATGTCTTTGACTCGTGAGAACTACGTGTAAATTACCCTTCTTCAAGTAAGACGTTTTCTTTCACATCCTGAGTGATTGCTACAACTTACCCCAACAACAGGCTCTGTTGGTCAGGTATTTGAATATTATGGGATGTTATGGTCACTTAAAAGACTATCAACAGCAGTAGATATTGTTATTAAAATCAGTTTGAAACTTTGAAATATAATGATCTTTTTATGTGGTTTGTTTGACCTGCGGTCTGCTCAGTGCCAGCTTTATTTTGATTTGCCTGTGACCTTGTGCATCATTACTCAGGGGAGTCCTGGGTTGGTAAAGTGATGTTGTGAAGCTGTTCTCATTATTTTTGGATTAATGAACTGACTTAGTGAAATATTTTTTAAAATCTACGGTACACATAATTTATGAAATTGATAAAAAAACAACAACATTTGAACTCCTTTACATTTGTGATTGTGTCATCTGTGAGTTGTCTGGTTTTTGTCCGTGATCTTTCTTGCAGCCTGTTTTTGCCCCGACACAAATCGTGTAAGTGAGTGTCGGTCACAGGAATGGTCTTTTTTTCTAGAGGGGGTTGCCTCCTGAGATGTACAGATGTATGATGAGACAGCCAAGCCCCTGATATCTCCAAAGCGCTCACCATCGCATCTAGTCAATATTCTTGTGTGGTTTCTTTCTGTCTTCTATTGTAGTGAATGGTAGTGTCTAGAAAGGGTATGTCCCTTCAGGAGAGAGGTGCCAATGTCCAACCGGCCTAATTCCAATCCAGGGGGGTCACTGCGCCGTTCACAGAGGAACACTGCTGCGGCCCAGCCACAAGACCACACAGTCGCAGGAAGGTGAGTCCATCTGCACCCTTGGTGTCCACTTCAGTTTAGTTAAAAGGCAGTAATGATGGTATGTGGGGAGGATCAATTGGGGGCTGTTTAATAGAGGGGTATTTGGACTTAATTCATGGGTGGTGTTTGTAATTAATTGGCATTTTCACTTGATGTAGAATGGTTATGTTGGCCTCGTTGATTAAAGGGGAATCTTGTCTTGTGTTTTTTTTTTTATCATCAGAGTCAAATGTGATTAACTGTTGATACTCAACTGTTCTTTTAGCTGTTTTTCTTGTTACTCCAGAGGTGTTAATGCTCAGTTGCAGTCAGCCAAAATTATTTGGGGATTGATGAAGTCTCTCTTTTTATATGTGGCTTAATTACAGAAACCCACACTGTCACTTGCTCTTTAATTTCCAACCTTACAGGTTGCAGTCAGAGCAGGTAAAACATAAAGCAAATTCCCCACCTGAAAGTAGAAGACCTAATTCTAAGGCTTCCAAAGCCACAGCCAGCTCAGCCACTGGCCAGTCCAGAGGGCACAGCTCACGAAGGTACCCCTCCTCTCTACTTGGTGCTTATTGTGTGTGCGTGTGTTTGTGGGTTTGTACTTCATCCAATAGTATCGTACTGTGTAAAATTCACAATGAGGAAGAACATATACAGTATTGTACAACTTTGGGTTTTGTTCTAAATCTGAATGAGTACAATGAATGTGGCATTGTAAATAATCACTTTTCACGGTTTGAAGACGTTTCTGAGATGGTGTTTTTTTTTTTTTTTCCCCCTCTTGCTCTCTAGCAGAAGCGGTCTTTCTCTGTCAGTGGCTTCATTTGTGTTACAAGACGAGCCAGAGGCTGCAGGGACATCTGAACAAGAACGACCAGGCCACCAGTCAAAGAGTGAAGGCACCCGAGGGCTAAAGCGAACCGAAGCTCCTGACCAAATTAGTACCTTTGGACCGACGCCAGCCAAGAAGTCCAAATCACTCCCACCACCCAGAGACAATACCTCAGAGACCAAGAAAGGACCAGCTAAGTCCAAGAAGAGATCACTTGCTTCAGAACCGCCTGCATCATCAGGTCGAGGCCAGAGCAAGAAGAGCGGGGCCGCTGGGGCCTCACCAATCCAGAAACGGAAGAAAGCGGACTCTCTCCCCGGTCTAAGTAGCACCGTTGGGTCCCTCCCCAATCGTACCGAGGGCAGAACTGCAAAACCCACCAAGCTGGCGTCTAAATCGGCCGCCTCAGCCAAAGCTGGGTGTAGCAACGTGACGGACTCCTCTTCCTCTGCCTCCACCTCTTCCTCTTCCTCCACCACAGGCACCAACAGCACGACCACGCAGGGTGCCCGAGTCAAACAAGGTAAAGATCAGACCAAGGCACGGCGCTCTCGCTCAGCCTCAAGCCCCTCCCCACGCCGTAGTACACGTGACAAGGAGCAGGCCAAAACCGCCAGCTCTTCAAAATTCGAGTGGGCAGCGCGCTTCAATCCCAAAGTCAACCTGCCAAAACCCAAACTGTCCTTGCCCGG